GAAAAATACCTCTTTGGGTGAATTGCCTTCTGTGAAATCTGTAATGGGAAGCAGTCTCTTCCTCTCGTAGCACTAGCTGGGGTGGTTCTTTGTCTCATCAGGACAAGAATCACTTGGCTGCTTCTAAGAGCAGCTGTGATGCGAGGAACACAGTCCTAAGTTTGAATCCTTTGCCTTCCACTGGAGAGAAAAAGAAAAGACTGTTTCACCTCCTTGCACAAAACAAAGGCTTGTCTCCAGTTCCCAGAAGAATAAGTACGGGCATTGACTTTGTATATAACATGGCGAAGGTCTTTTAGCTTTCAAAGCGTCTTCAAAGTTACAAGCGTGCTGTAGACCCGGTGTGCGAGGCCTCATACTGGAGCCCCCAATCCTATTTATTCATAGACTCACTCTGGTGTCCCTCAGTGTCACTTTCACAGGTGACATCCAGCAGCAGGAAGAAGAACGCTCTGTTTCTGAGCAATATCTGCTAGCTTTGGTGATTAGCTGGTGACTTCCTTAGGATTAATTGGGAACCGTCTTCTAGGCCATAAGCCACAGGGAGCCTGGCTGCTGGCAACTCCTGGCTGTGCCTTCCATTTGGTAGGTACTTACCTGCAGAAATACTAAGGTTTGTCCATCTGTGCATTTGGTGGCACTTGGTGGAGCTTTCTTCTGATATGTTAAAATCATGGTGCCAGTTACTCAAAGACAGGATGCTGCTGACACAGCAGTTCCCTCGGGGCTCTAGTGCTGTTGTACCAGCTGTCCCAAGTGGAGTTGAGTGCTCCGGCTGCCACTTCCAATGACAGCGGTAGCTTTGTGGAAGGAACGTTCAGAGGAATTTTGAGAAATCACAGGCATATCAACATGCACAGCCCGCCTCAGCCAGAAGCAAGGCAGCAAGAAGGAGATAGGGCCTCCTCCACGAAGGGAACAGTTTTGCATTTGCACAGAGAATGAGCCAGGGACCTCTATGTCTAGAACAGTAGTGGAGATGAACCAACTGACGTGCATCTGATTTGGATTCCAGATCTGCTTTTAGCTGCCTTTTTTTTTTTTTTTTAAATTAGCATGTTAGTGTTGAAGCAGTGCTCTGGGAGTCTTTAAAATGCATAGGAGGAGCTTTAGTGATTAAAGAAGCTTCACTTTTGTGTTGAAACTGGGGAAAGGGGAAGAGAAGAAAGCTGGAAGAATTTCCTGTCCTTTCCCCTATTTTTGCCAATTAAGGCTGCATTCGGGGCTCTGCTTGTTGGTCTGAGTACTAATAAGTCACACGGGCTACACAGAGAACTTGCCCCTCTGCCCCTGCTCAGCTCCTTGAAATGGTATGCTTCATCTGAGTCACTTCCCAGGAACTGCGTGGGTGTGGTGAATAGAGTAGGAATTTGGGATCTCCAGCTGCTATCTGATACTGACCTTGTTATAGAAGATTTCTACAGCAAGAAGTGCTTGCCAGATCTCTGTTCCATGAGTTCTGTGGAAGAGCACTGAGCAGGCCGCTAGCCTATCTGCAGTTTGTGTATGGGTGCCTGTTAATGCTAGAATTCAGTGAAATCATTTTTCTTGCTTTATTTCCTGGAATTAGCTTTAAGTGTGGCTGGAACATAACCTTCCCTTTGTCTCACGTACTACACAGGTATGATATTTCGGATGCCATATTTCTGTTTTCTAGCAAGCATACTTCTATGCCAATTGTTGAACATAGTGAGTGGGAGAGGGGACTTCATTTGCCAATCTAATCCTATAGCATTTATGTATGGTGCACTGCCCTATTGCAACAAACACGAAGACCTGATCCTAACAGCTCTATCTGCCACAGATGGATGGGTTTAGGTCAAGCCCAAAGGACTAAGTAGTGAGGTGAGGCAACTGAGAACAGCACAGAGGAACTGGAGGATGGATATAAATGGTTTTGGACCTGAAACAGAGCTTTTATGTCTTGCAGTAAGGGACAGAAAATGTGGTTTTGAAAAGGGTGGCCAGAGAGGATGATTCTTTTATTCCACAGGACATACGTAGGCAACTACTAGCCTGGCATTCAGGGAGTCACATAACACTACTGTGCCCTTTCTTCCAATCCTAGTGCTGATGTGTCTTTTTTCTCCAGTAAATGGGTAATTTGGGTTTCAGATTATATCTTGTGCACTGTAGTAGAGTGATTATGTATTGTACAGAGAAATCACAAGCTGTGATAGTTTTCATATTAAGTTTAAACCAATTGCAGAGCTGCTCATTTGAGCTAGCACATATAAAAGTAACAAAAGAGGACTTGTGTGAAATAAATTTTAACATGGTGTGTGTACATTTCATGAGTATTGACCTGGCCTTTTTCATGCCTTTGTCCTGTAAGATAACCAGGTCAAATTCTGAGAATGGCTTGATGAACAGAACAAAAGACAGATTTGTCTTGAGGGAACTACCTTGAAAGGTACCCCTGCAGCAGTTCTTTCGATGGGCCAAACTGTCTTTCCCTGTAAGCTCTGTATCTGCTGTACACAGACGAGATAAATGTAACTTTGACCATTCCCACTTTTTAGAGGAAAAACCCGACACATCAAACTATGATGTCTTTGCTGACTATTTATTGTCAAAACTAGCTTGGGGATGCCACTTTTATGTGATACGCTTTCGGGATAGGCATATAGTTGTGGCCTTGCATAAGCAGTTTTTTTCGTAAATGACTGTTTCCACAGTGTGGGGAAGCTGCAAACCAGATAACTATCAACTTAACCTGCTCTTGCAGACAGAGAACAAGCCTAAGGGCATATGAAACCCATCCTCACCAGTAGAAGCTTAGTAGCTGCTGTGTAAAACCATTCATGATTGTAAAAGAAACCCAATTTGTCTGACAGGACCCATACTCTGTTACCATTTGGAAAATGTGAGTGGAGTTACAGAGGCAAGTACTAACTGACAGAAACTCTCACATTGGAGCCAAGAGCTTCCACTGACTTCAACAAATGAAAGATTTGAGATCCTACCAGGTGAAAGTCTTTGGCTTTAATGACCTAGAAACAGCCAGTGTGCAGTATTTCACTTACATTGAAGCTAGAGCCACACAGAAATCCTTAACCAACATGAGGGGTGCAATTAAACATTGGCATCATGAAACACTGATGAAGGAACAGCTTAAACAAGAGGGACCAAGAGCCCTCTTGGCAAGTGGGGCCGAGGGGCTGCTCCCAGGCAAGTGCTGGGAGAACGCCTACCAGAGTAAGCGCTGAAAAATGCTTGGTCTGTAGATGCTCACGGACCTCCAACACAAGCTAAGCAGTTACCTGCTCACCCTGGTACTGACGTGGGTACTTCAGGGGCAGACCCAAACCCTTCCTCTACTGAATGTAGCTAGCAGCAATTATAAAGGCACAAGTCCTTATGGATTTATGCACCCACAGGGACAATATAGTGAAAATTATGCACTTAAGACCTTGGATCCAGTCTGAAGTACTTCATAAACCCCACACAAGCAGGACCAAAACTAGGAACCAAACTGTTACATCACAAAACTACTACTTTTTCTAGTTCACTGGGGGCGGGGAAAGCTTCTTTTTCCTTTCAGTCACTTCAACCACTAAGATCTTTTATTTTCATTTTCTTCTCAATCTAAGGTCAGTTCCACTACACACTACCTGTCAAGGCTGAGTAAACACAAAATACTAAGACTAACCCCTGAAGCCTCTACACTCCCCAAACCTCTGGCCCACTACAATAAGCATGAAGAAAAACCTCTGCATTCTGGACCAGTATCAAAAGCTCTTTGAACTGAAATTTCAAAGTCATAGGTTGTTACACTTATATATCCTTCTGAAGAATAGGATATATTCCCAAAATCAGGATGCTCAGTCAGGAATTGATTTACAAAAGACTCTGCACTTAGAGGTGAACAAACTGAGGCATCCTTGAATTTTGGTGCTGGCCAGGTGAGACTGCTCTACACCTGTTTGTAACTCCCACCCTGGACATTTGGATAGATTAAATAACTGTGGTACAAAGCATGCATCAGAGAATCCCAGAGCCTTCCCATCCCACACAATATGCATTTTAAGTATGGTTAGAGCAGATTATACTAATTCAAACTCACTGAAATCAACTTTGCGTCTTCTTCTCCCCCCTTCCTCCCACTGCTACCAGTTTCTGACAGCTTACTGCAGGGTATAATTAGGATTTTAGCTTCTGGTCTTTTTTCAGGCATATTTTTTTCTCTTGCACTCTTTTTTTTTTTCCTCCCAAGAAACAGAGTCATTATTTTGTTTGCTCTTGAGTTCTGCCCTCAAGAATTTTTACCTTTCCCCCAGCAGGGGTATTTTTGAGGACACTCTACTTGTCTCCAATAGCAGGGAAGACTAGAAACAGTAACATTTTAGGTAGTCATTACAACTATTTCATAAGACCCTGTTGTCCACTGCTGTTCTTTAAATAGATACATATGTGTGCACACACACACACACACACACACACACACACACACACACAAAAATATATAAAAAGGCCAGAAAAACAGCTTTGGAGCTGCTGAAGAGTAGAAGCTATCTGTAGTTTAGCCTTTTAACGTTTTAGTGGTAATAATTAAGCACTGGCACTTCCAAGGATTGCATATTGCATTAAATAACTGGATCACATGGGAGACATCAGCTTGTCATATCTCAGCCTACAACATGCTACAAAAAGCTCTTGAGTGCTTTCTCAAGCAGAAGACATTTCTCTCCCACCCCCATTTTAAAGTACAGGCA